GCCCTGCTGTGTTGTCCCTTCAACAGATATCACGGTGGCTGAAGTCCCTCATGAAGGCCAGGGCTTGTGAACATGACGCTGCTCCTACCTGTCTACAGAGGGCCTTGCCCACTCAGTCTTCCTGGTCGGGTGGCCTGTAGCAGACCCCCACTATAATGTCACCTGTCCCTGCCCTCCCTTTAATCCTGACCCATAAGCTCTCAGTCAGATCCTGACCCATCCCCAGGCAGAGCTCCATGCACTCCAGCTGGTCATTGATGTAGAGGACAACACCCCCTCCACATCTCCCCTGCCTGTTCTTCCTAAAGCATGTGTATCCTTCCATTCCAACACTCCAATCATAGGAGCCATCCCACTATGTCTCTGTCCTACCAATAAGATTGTAGCCCTGCAGGCGTGTGCACGGAAGGCAGCCTGGCTTAAGAAACAAACACAATTAAAAAAAATCAGCAACAGGATTTTTTTTTTAAATAATTCTAGTATCATGTACTTCAAAAGAAAAACTTCTGCAAAAATTGCACAGCAAACTTTGCTCCACGTCCCTAATCCTAAAGGCTGACGAAGAGATAACCAGACCAGGAAGAGACAAAAGAAGAGAGACTGTTTTCTAAGCACTTTGCCTGAAAAATTACAATCCCCACAGAAATGAAGAAGTAAAACTTGGCTTCATTAGCAGCTCCAGAAGGCAACCAGTACAATAAAAACTAGCACCATCTTTGACCTTGAGAAAGAATATTGCTTCAAACAAACAAAAAGTATACTATGCAGTCAGCATCTGTTTCACTTAACTGCTTGGCTGCTGAATATAAGAGCCTTAAACAGTATGACTTCTGCTGTAAGCTTTTTAAATATCAGCTGATAATACATTGCTGTACAAAGACATATGAAGCTTTCAGTTACCTAAACCTAAAAGACAACTTTAAAACAGAGTACCAAAAATGAGAACTATATGGAACTTCACCCTTTGAATAACATGCAACATCAGACAGTAGTTGTTAAAAACATGTGCCTTTCTACCTTCCTCCAAGTTTCCAGGATTGAACATCTGGACAAGACCTCCGTAATACAGTAAAGAGAACTTAAGATAACAAGACCGTAACAACTGAAGGCAAAAACCAGGAATAAGAACAAAAACGTAGATTTCAACATCAGAAGCAGAAATTCCGGAATAAAATTTAGCAGTGATTAAATATGTAAGCTGCTTTACTTTCATACAGCAGCAAGAGAGAAACCATCCATACTCCAGAAAGCTCAGGCTTTACCTTCATCAAATAGGAACACATCTCTCAACTAGAAGACTAAATGATGACCACCAGCTTTTGGAAGAAAAACAAATTTTTGGAAGCTTGCCTCAGGTCTCTCACCTAGGCAATGAAAAGCTATCAGAATTAGCATTCTTCTGCAGTGTCTCATAGAAAAAACAGATGACACCATTTCTAAGTACAGACATGTAAACACCCATAGTTAAAGGGAAAAGAAATGAAAAGGTGGAGTAAAAAAAATTCTGACAATCATTCTGTCTTTGGGAGGAGATAAATTGATGAAAAAACCAAATCAAATATTCTGGATTACTTCAGGACATCTTGTCATGAGACAAAGCACTCCACTGAGATAAGGTTTCTCATAACACACATACCTGCATAAAATATAAGTTGTATGATCAGAAAAGGTTAAGGAAGAGACTTTAACCAGGATCTGCTATAGAATACTCAGATCCAATTCCTGATGCAAAAACTGCATTTACCTATACAAATTATATATTTCATAGAGATTAGGCAGCCAAATGTATAAACTGGGCTGCAAATGATTCACCCTATTTAAAAAAAAAATTCAAAAAATGACCTAAATGCACATTTTGCAGATAACACATTCAAGCAGAAGCAACACTATCCCTGTGGAGTGGTCCCTTTATCAAAGAAAACTTCTGCTCCTTTTACAGGATACAGGCTCAAACAAAAACATGTATGTTTAAATCCATGGAGCAATGGTAGTAAAGAGGAAATGCTATGTTTTTAATACGTGCTTATCCTAAAGCCTTCTTGAAAGTTTCAGATAAGACAGCCATCATGAAACTTGATTTGATCTCATGAAACTTCCTTCAAGAACCAAGGTAACTTCTACCTCAGAGCATTTAAGAGAGGTTTCAACCTTGCTGAAAATCTAATGAAGATCAAGATTCCTTCTACTATATTTACATAGATAATAAAGACGACCTACAGAAATTCTAGAATATAATGAAGATCTATGTGTTTTTTTAATTAGAAGAACCATATATGAAATTAGACTCCACAAGAACTCCCATTAGGAGAGCGTTTTCCTCCTTTTAACAGAGCTACCTCTTGATCACTTAAGACTCAGGGTCAGAACTGGGCAGCCAAATAGCTTATCTGTATACAGACAATTAAAAAAACCACAACTACGTAACAACTATCCCTTCAAAACCCAATAAATCCTACAAGAAATTAAATCTCAAAGAATGTAACTCATTGGAAGTTGGCTGCCTTTCCAACACTTTCGGTGGTGCAGAAAGTATATTGGGTTTGCCAAATGTTCAGTTACATGAGCCAGTGCTTCTAAGTAAAAGCTTGTATGTACAATAAACACAGGGAATGCACCTCCTTGAGCTGCCACGTGAGCCGTAGTACAGTTACAGTCCAGTGTGTATTTCTGCGTAATTTAACCACTGCAATCCAAGAAATTACATTAAGGAGATACACCACACTTACACGCCTTCCGCTCTTCCTGCTTTTTACTTTTTGTTCTTTGTAGTCAGCACCTGTACAATTTTTCTCAACTTTATCTGCTGTGGTGAAACACAGGTTTTAAATTCCAGCCACACTGATTTATCATTTTTAAATTTTAAAAAACTAACAGTTTGGTACGATGAGATCAAGACACTGCATGTTTTTATAATCAAATAAATAAATGCTATACCTCCAAGTTCTTTTATGTTCAAGATGGCATTCTGGAATGGCACAGCTTTTATACTAAAACCTAAGAACAGAAATACAGAGTATTAGTAAGTTAAAGATGCCATTTGAAATCAATTGCATACATTCAGAAAAGACTACTTTTCCATCAAGAACCAGGATTTTGCATACGAAATACTGTTTCAATATGATGTTTAAAAATATCAATTGGGGGGTGGGGCGAGAGGCAGAATAAATCAGTATGAGCAATGAAATCTGCAGTGATACTATTAAATAGCTGGCACACATAAAATTCAGCACAAAACTTCCATCCAGGCTATCTACCATTTGGTAAGGAGTTAGTACTGAATATACCTTCATGAAGCCATCTTTTAATGCAGTTTTCAGCCTACTAATAATATGAAGCGATCCTTCTGCAATTTTTAGGAGATGTGGAAGACAACATGCAATTCAAATCACTTTTCTTCCATTTAAACTTTACAGGTTTTGGTTACACCTAGAGTATTAATCCTGTATATAAACGTTATTAACAGAAAGATCCTTTTACAGACCTAAGTGGTATGTATTAAAATGGTTACAAGCACACTAGAAGCATTTATGAATCCTCTATTAGCCTGTTACATGCTTAAAACTAAAAAAACTTTTTTAAAAGTGTGTTTTCCCTTAACTGAAAATTCAGACAGCCAAGAGAAAGAGAATGTGAAAGGCTCCCAGCAATCCATCAATTTTTAGTGCATACATACATACAAGTGTATGTAATACTTTATATAGGAAAAAAATTATGTCTGCTTTTTCAGCATAAAACGTCCAGATAGACAGTAAATTTATTTCCATCTAGCACAAGTAGTTTCAACATGACTACATACCTGTGAATTGAGTAAATAAGTTTTAAAAAAATGTGTTTTTCTCTGAGTTTATTAGCTATTGTTTAACAGAAACAAGGTATTTTTTCTCCCAGATCAGACCAGTATGACATTGCAGTACTCCAACCATGGTCAGTGCTAGATGCAGCAGAGGAAAGTGCGAGACAATCTGAAGGGTAGAATTATGAAATATTTTTGTTGTTGTCTTAAAATAAATAAATCCTAAACTCTTCCTAGAAAGGAGAAAAATCTGGAATGGACCTGAGTGGTGTTCATAAGAAAAGCAAAAACACAGGTTATAGTTTGAAAACTGAGTGGAGAATTTGTCACATTTTATTCTTAGATTCTCAACAACATTTTCTCATACAGCAGAGATATGGTACATATGGGTAGACTTATTATAAGCTGAATAGCCTAGATATGCATCATTTTGGTTAGGATGCTGCCCAGTTTCTCCATTCCTCAAGTTGCCTAACTAAATAATGGTATTTTGTTGCACCTATCTAGAAGCATGTAAGAAATTTAATTTTAAAATTAATCATGTGTTCATTATTTCCTTTGCTAGATCTATACTGCTATTTATATTGCTGTTACTATTTCTTTCAGGGTCTAAATTGTTAAAGTACAATTTGCAGTAATTCCAGGTAACTCTAAAGATAAAGCGGCGGGGGGGGGGGGAAGGCTGAATTATTCTACAATTTCCTTCTAACTTTTTGAGTAAGGCATTGACACCTTCTCCACACAATGAGGTGTCAGATCTCTTTAACATTCGCAATAACACCACTGTGAAGGCAATGGGATAATTATTCATCACAGAAAAAACCCCATATTTTCTTGTACCTGGTTTAATTTGTTTACCTACAGTTGTATTAAATAATCTTATGTTCCTGTAATTTAAACAAAGATACAGTGAAAACCACTTAGGGTTGCTAAGGGACAATCATAAAATTCAAGCCCATGAACCACAGCTACAATATAAAGCCATGTAACTATAAACACAAATTACTCGCAGAACACTCACTATCTGTTCCCTCAGCAAATCAACCTTAGTAAATCACTGTGGCCACAGAACCAGATTTCTTCCATCTCTATGACCTAATCTGTCCTCTTTCTGAACTTTGTAGCCAGGTATTCCTTTTTTCTTATCCACATGTTTGTTTCTGGTTTTTCTGGTGCTGTTTTATTTTTTTGTTTTGGGAGGTTTGTTGTTTGTTTTGTTTGTTTTTTTTTAATTAAAATACCCTTTTCAGTATTAGGCATTCTGGTTCACCTGTATCAGCATGTATATTCAAATTTTTTTGACTTAAGATACCTTTTAGCTGTGGTTGTTGTGTCTGTTTCTATGTATCCTCTCAATACCACTGAAACTTTTTGTAAATTGATTCTCTGGTCGCAACCTACCTTTACTACATAAACAAGCCTCTTTGCTGATCTTAAAGAAATGATTATCACCAGAAATAAACATTTCCATTACATTTATTCTTTTGTTTGCTAGCATATACCACAACGCAGTACTGGCCAAGTATAAGAAATATACACCAACTTAAGTTTCAGAGCATTACTGTCCCATTCTATTTTATAGCACATCCTCCTCTTTTCTGTCCATAAAACAAGACTGCTCAAAAACCAAAAGTAAAAATACAATAAAGAAACCTTTTAATGTGTGTCTACACTACACTACTACTGTATGTTTCCAATGGTTTTACTTCATTACACCACAATTTATGTTTTGACTTTCAACACATTCAAAATTTTATGTATTCATGGATATTCCCCAATGTATGACCAAACACTGGAAGAGTAAGTAGTGGTAGCTTCAAAGCAATCCATTAGGCACTTTCCAAAGCAAGATAACTAAGCTGAAGTTCTCTACCACCCTTTGCTATATGTTTCAGAAGTTACCTTTGGGCAACGTTACAGTACACCATGGAATAAAGGCAACATCCTACCTGTGGTAGACACTATATTCTCCGGGCTTTCACTGCAAAGCTGTGACAAAAGACTTGTCTTGCCAGAACCAGTGAGGCCTATGCAAACCAAGTCATATTCAGGTCGTGGTGGTGGCGGTCCCTTGCAGCAAAGCGCTCTGAAACACTGCCAGGGTAGGGAAAAACAAACAAAACAGAAAAAAAACCAAAAGCAAGAAGTTACTTTTTTTGCAAATGTTTATTCAACAAGGTTCTAAAAATCAAGTTTATAAATTTAAAGCCATTGGAGGGAAGCAAATTATCATTTCAACTTACTATTTTGACAAAATCAACAATTAATAGACTGAGACTACCTCAACTAAAATCTAGAAAAACTTTATAAGAAAACATAAAAATACCTGTTAACTTCTCACCTAAGCCTCATAGAGCTGGATTGAGGAAAGTGACAGCCATTTCCTGAACAGTATAAACAGTGCACATACAGAGAAATAAGCACGTGCCCTACTCAACTCTGCAGTTGGGTATGCATGATTTCATTCTTCCTGTACTAATTTCATGCAATACCTGGTGTAAACATCAGAGCGGCTCCTGAGCAGCTGCTGGCCAGGCTCTACCTGTTGTCACAGGGAAGAATCAGAGAACTTTGCTCCATTGATGTCCTTCCTGCGCTTGCTTTGTCATGGGTTTTACGTTACAATATCAGCTGTGAAAGAGTACAGCTTGTAAATAAATAAATTTTGCTGGATATAGCTCTAGTCAAAAATAAGCAGATCTCTCACTTTCCCTGGTGAAGTATAAACTAATCACAATATAAAGAAAATAAATCTCTTCCACAAAGCCTACTTTAGAGTTCTGCTCACGTCGCAAACAGTATTGCCAAAGTAGGCCAAGCTCACCCACAGGGTCTTTTAAGCCCTTAGAAAGACTCATCGGACCTTTCTTTATATGTAATATGGAGAAGTTTTATGTAAAAATCTAAAACCATATCATTCTGGGAAAGCTAGGAAGTTTATGTTGAAGGTATAGGGTATAAGTACCTGCTAATGTCCAAGATAGACCTCCACCACCCCAATACATATAAATACCTCTTTCCCAAATATCTGCCACCTTCATATCAGAAGAATACATCTGCCATAACAAGGAAGGGAAAACATGTTTGTGCAATCACTCCTCTCTCACACATTCTGTCTTTAAATAGCCCCAGATCTTTTCTTCCATCTTAACCACAAGCCAATCACCACACTGGGTAAAGAAATCCAGTCTTTACAACCTTAACCTACTTTGTCTACAAAGTGTAGACCTAGTTTGTCTTCATGACTACCCAGGATCTCTCATTGAGGGCTACTGGAGGAGCAGAGAAACAGAAGAGACTTCAGTAAGGCACTGTTGCAAATACTGGGGCCTGGCTCTGTGAGAAAGTCATCCAAAGAGAACATGATTACAAAAAGACAGCTCACTGAATGCAGAACTTCCATTGGATTCTTTCTGTATATATAGTAAGTTATACATGCTGCAAAAACAGTGTTCATTGGTTTAAAGAAGTAAAAGGTAAGTTCAGGGAACGTTACGAAATTCCTTCAACACCTTTTAAAAATGTGAAAGGAAATATTTTAGGAGTGAAAACATTTACAGTAGTAGTTCAGCTGAACAAAGGCAACAGATTTTGAAAATAAAAGCTTTGCTTCTATTAAAATTTGACTCAGAAATTACTTTTTTCAGGAAGGTTTGCCCTTATATGTGTGTTCATAGCTAAACGGAGTAAACATGCCTTCTAGCTTTACTCAGACATCAGTTTATACTTATCTCACAGATTCTACAAAGCCACAGCAAACATTCTACTCTGGTACTTAAGCGAGAAAGGCCAACTGAGTTCATTGCACTACATAAGCTCCTTCAAATAGAGTTTCCACTTAATGGATATCAGGCTGAAGGCCACATAAAATTCTTCGAAGCTTGCCAGAGCTCCTGAGGCTGTGTGTCAGGCCCTTTGCAGCCAGTCTTTAAAAAGGATTCAATTTGTCCCTGTCAGCACAGCATCTTTGCAACAACTTCTTGATATCATATTGAAAAACATAGAAGAATAGATGAGCTGATGAAAGTCTGTGCTTCTCTCTGTCCAGAGACTGTGCCACTTCTTGTGCAACCAGACACTACTCTTGTGGTCCCGACAACATTTAATAACCTGCAGTTCCATCAAAGGTAATTATTGCTCTTTGTAGAACATATATGGAGGCTCTGTGGGTGACAGAGGGGCTCCACAGGCTGGTTTTGTGAGGGTCAGTATTTCTTTAGTGCAAATTCCTTAAGTCTAACTTAGTCTGGGGAATCTTTACATGCTGTTGATTAAACATATGAGCAAAAATCCAGGTCAAACTGCATGTCCAAAGCAGCATACATAGACGCGCTACCCGTTCACTCATCCTTCACCAGTAAGCAGTTAGGTATGAAAGTTCCTGAGATACAGCAGACACAGAACCCCAGAAGACAGGGAAACTGCTCCCTCCAGACCTCTCTCATATATTTTTTTTTTCATATGATTCCCCTGTCTTTGTTATAGCCATGACTTTGTCCTTCTGCAAGGCTAATTTCCTTCACTAGATATTTTTGTGTGGTAGGAATGAAAACAAACTTTAAATATTCTTGCTTCAAAAAGCAGCTGAAATTTAAGCTGCTGTGTATAGCACTTGCCGCTGGCTGACATGAGAAATTCTACAGTGCATTTTAGGGGATATTTGTAATAACATATTTAATTTTTATAAACTTATTCCGCAATCCTCCTTACTCAAACTCAATGAACATCTCTTCCATTGGAAATATCACTATACAAACAGTCTGATCACTGCCTTCCTGTTCTCTCAGCAGCTTAAAGTGACTTGGCCCCTAACAAAGTCAGGGCTATTTAAGATTCCATTATAGAGACTAAACCTCTATTGTCACAACTTTGGCAGCTGCATCTAGTAGCTGCAGAAGATCTGTGGAGAGTAGAAAATTCAGAGGTCATTGACCATGCAAATAAAATTACATCCTATATTCTGCTTTTGATTATGGACAGGAAATGCATCCTGAAATATTTTATAAAGCATGGACTAGAGCTACACCATTAGTTAAGATTTCATCATGTATTCCAGTGCAGTCTGAAATGCACAGAACTGCAAGAAATGTGTATTAGTAACTAAAGAAGCCATTCCTGAAATCCAAAACACAAATATATCAAAAACATTGAGAGAGTTATTCAATTCACAATTAGCGCTCAGTCCTTTCCAAAACCAGTGTACTTTCCACTCCTTTTGGACAACCCAAAGAGTGTAAGAGCAACATGAACACCTGACCGCTCTTGAAATACTTGTCAGATATGGACCTGGAAGTCTCTTTCATTGACTCCCAAACCTGATCTGCTCGATGAGTGACTGACCAATAAAAGGCTGCCTTTTAGGTATTATAAAACAAACTCTGAACCCAAATGAGGCCACGCGGAGGGACTGTTGGAGAGGACAGAAAGAAAACATTTAACCACCATGAATATAGGGGGTCAAGCAGAGCTAGCTGGCATAGTCACTGAAATGTCGTTTGGGGTATGGTCATGCATTTCAGCCCCACTGCGAGCAACAAAAAAGGAACAACATTTTTTTGAGCCCTTCCATCCTATCAGGGTATCACCTTACTTACTTTAGAGGGAGAGACACGTCAAAGTGTCAGTTTTGATGATTTTTGAGAACATCACACTCAAAAGTCTTTATAGATATTAGATGGGAAGAAGAAGCAGGCAAAGAGAGGCAGGCAGGGACAGTCTGGAGTTAATTTTTCTTTTTCTTCTTTTTTTTTTTAATTAAGAAGCAGATTTTAAAGTACTGAACATAAAACAATACAGTATCTTGAAAAAATGTATGCGTTTAGCCAGTTTTGGGAAAAAAAAAAGGATGTATTTATCCAGGAAACTGGGAGTAATTAGGTGCTGCAGTCTGCAGAAAGCTGTGCAATATTCAGTACCACTGTTACTTTCATGTTACTTGTATGTGTGCATGTATGCTGCATGTGCACGTATAATCATCTGCAATACCTAAGGGAAGTCAGCCAGTCCTACTCCTGCTTAGGGATTTCCATCCCAACCTGATGATTCCAGTTTTAGGTGGATCAGTATTTGAGCTGACAATCCTAGTCAGTGTCCCTTTAAAGCCCTATGAAGATTTCCTCCAGGAAAAGCATTAAATATTGTGTCTATAACAGGGGTGGCCAAACACTTCTGATATATGTGCTGCTCAGAGATCACATATTGAAGCTCTGGTCAGCAAACGTCCCTGAATTACTACTCTCTCCAACACATTACACTGCCTCCAGCCATTGAGTCTGTCTTTGCCTACTCATTGTACTTCTCGTTTCACTCTCCTTTTGGGGGTGAAATACTCCATTATATCTGCTTTGTTCTGAACCCATCTCCTGTCTGTTTCTTTTGTTGCCACTATTTAATAGGGACAAACAGAAGCAAGGGATTTCATGCTTAGTTGGTTAAACACACACACTCTCATGCAAAAATACCCTAAGTTAGTGCAACATTAAGGCTAACAAACCAAGCATTCAGAGCTCTTGAAATCCAGAATTAAGGCTGAAAGCTCAACCATAACTCTGCTCCCCTCCTTCTCTCACTTGTACTCATGTATATTGTCTCCCTTTACATTTTCTTTTTCAGTTAAGGTATCTTTGAAAAAACAGACTTCTAGTACCCAGCACACACTTATATCCAGAGGACTGGTTAATCATGTAAAGCTGTTAGTGAAAACTCAAGGAGATTATTAAAAAAAGTCAAATTTACACACAGCAGGCTCCATAGCTCTGATGTTGTCTGAGATCACACAAGCGCAACGAAATCTCAAAACTTGGAAGTGGTAATGTGAAAGGTGGGGGAAAACAATGAAGGTAGGCAGTTATGCTAAGGATAGGAAACAACTGGGGACAGCAGTGGTATAATTGAATGCAGATAATAAAATACTCAAGGCACCTGAATGAAATTACACACAGCTAGGAGAGAGGGCAAAAAAAGGGATATTTAAATAAACTAAATTTTAACTGTATGAATACCTTAATGTCAAATTAGTACAACAGAATCTATGCATTTGTGTGAGCTAAAGCTGCAGACTCTTAAGTTTCTACACTGCTGCACAAGTGGTTTTA